AAACCATTCAGGCATTTAAAGGTAATCACCAGGACTTTGAATTGGGTCTGGAAATACACTGGTACAATATGTATTCTGACCATCTGGGGGTGGCTGGCACTATGGTCTAAACCACTGAGTCTCTTGGGCTTGCCAATTGGAAGGTCAGCAGTTTGAGTCCATGCAATGGGGTGAGCTCTCATTGCTTTGTTCCAGCTCCTGACAACCTAGCAGTTTGAAAGCATACCAGTGCGAGTAAATAGGTACCATTGCAGCAGGAAGGTAAACAACGTTTCCATGCACTCTGGCCCTTGTCTCGGTGTTCTATTGCGCCAGAAGTGGTTTAGTCCTGCTGGCCACATGACCTGGAAAGCTGTCTGCGGACAAACGCCGGATCCCTCAGCCTGAAGTGAGATGAGGCCTGCACCCCATTGTCAAATTTGACTGGACTCAACCATCTAAGGGTCCTTTACCTTTACTTCTGACAATCTGGCTCCAACATCTGGCTACAATTGCGTCAACTGAAATTTCTGGATGATCTTCAAAGGCAGCTGCCTGCAGAGTGCCTTACAGTAGTCTAGCCCCCATGGATAACTGGGGCAAAGTCCACTCTCTCCAGATAGGCTGGATAAGGAGCTAATTGGACCCTAAGCTGGTAAAAGCTGCCCCTGGCGCCTACCACCACCAGCATTCCCAATTAGCGCTGAGTCCACTGAGTTCTACAAAGGACAAACAGGCCAGTCTCTATACAAAAGAAAGAATGAATACAAATTTAAAATCAGGAAAGGCCTGGGTAGCTCAGCTGGTTAGAGTACGGTGCTGATAACACCAGATTCGCAGGTTTGAGCACCATACGGGGCAGCTGCACATTCCTGCATTGCAGAATCCTCAAGGTCCCTTCCAACTCTGCAATTCTATGATTCTAAGGCAATACTGAGCAGCCCTATTTAGGATCCACTCTGCTCACCCCCAAAAGGGAAAGGGCTAGAAAAGGTGCTCTAAACATAGTCTGCCTCCCCTTTTCCCTGACTGGATTACCGAGCCCTGAAGGGTCACCACCCAGCAGTCATAAAAGACAATTGAACTTTGGAACTGGAATATACAGAATTTGTTGGATAACACAGATAATGAGAATCCCGAGCAATCACTGCAAGAGACTGCCATCACTGCAAGAGAGTTGCAACGTTTTAACATTGATATTGCAGTGCTTCAGGGTTAGCAAAATACTTTTTTTTTTTTTGCATTTTCCTGCATCATCAGGACTATGAAACATTTCAATTAAAGCAAGGCTTTTCTAATGTTTGTGCTTGTCTATTTTGCTTTGCATGACCTGCAATATGTATTTGTATCTTGCTCTTCCACCAGGAACTCCAGGTTATATGCATGATTCCCTCCACCTGTTATCTTTGCAACAGCCTTATGAGGTAAGGTAGGCTAAGTTCCTGCCAATACAGTGGTACCTCGCAAGACGAATGCCTCACAAGACAAAAAAACTCGCAAGACGAAAGGGTTTTTTGTTTTTTGAGCTGCTTCGCAAGACGATTTTCCCTATGGGCTTGCTTCGCAAGACGGAAGCGTCTTGCAAGTTTGTTTCCTTTTTCTTAACACCGTTAATACAATTGCGACTTGACTTCGAGGAGCAACTCATAGAACGCGGTGTGGTAGCCTTTTTTGAGGTTTTAAAAGACTTTGGTGATTTTTGAAGCTTTTCCAAAACTTTCCCGACACCGTGCTTCGCAAGACGAAAAAAATCGCAAAGCGACAAAACTCACGGAACGAATTAATTTCGTCTTGCGAGGCACCACTGTAGATCAGAGCTTTCCAAACTGTGTGTTGCAACATGCTAGTGTGTTGGCTGCAGTGTGTGGGTGTGTCGTGCAAATGCTCCCCGCGCTCTTATGGATTAGTTTAACCTCCAGTTTGCTAGTAAAACTGAATTGCTGTGTCATGAAATGATGCATGTCTAAAAAGTGTATCACCAACATGAAAAGTTGGGAAAACTCTGCAATAGATTGTGGTGTCTGCTGTGTGTGAGCAGAGGAAGGCAATCTACAAAGAGTTTATTGGGCCCCCAAAATCCTGTCGGCATCCCTGCTCTGGAGGAACATTTAGTTGTCTGTCAGAGCTGCCTCAGGTCCCAGCTCACAGAGGACCAACGCCAGTCCGTTGTTATATAAAATAGTCTTTATTGAAGTTCAGTTTCGCTTTCCAGCCGCGGCGCGCAGCTCTACGTCTCAAACTCTAGACCGCCGAAGCTCCGTCTGAGTCTCCTCCCCCCAGACACCAGTTTAAGACTCTAGCCTTGCTCCACCTCTTCCTCTGCTCCCTCCTCCTCTGGGTCCGCCTGTCCGCTGGGGTCTTGCCCTTTCTAGACTCTTCTGAAGCTGAGTCCCCCGAGTCCTCCCCCTCCCTCCGGCGGGCTTTAGGACCTGGTTCCCAATCCGGGCTTCCTGCTGTCCCGCTCACCTGTACATTTGAACTTGGCGCGCGCGCCCAGCCTGCCACCTTCCTTCTGACCGTTATACTGCTCCTGTCACTGCTCCCCTCTTCGGGAACGCTAGTTGGGCCTGACTCCTCCTCCCTGCTTGCCGGAGGAGACGCTGACTCTGACCTATGGGACTCTTCCCCCCCACTACGCTCTGGTGGGGAAGCTGGCCCTGATTTCCAGCTACTGCTTTGGGAGTCTCCGCTGGCCCCCTGCTTCTGGTGTGTCCCCCCTGGGACCCCCCTTGCCCTGGCCATCGGCGCCCCCTTCTGGGAATCTTCTGATTCACTGGAGAGGCTCATGGAATCTCTCGGGTCACTGTCATTCTGCCCTCCGCTGCCCTCAGATTCCTCCCCCTCGCTCTCCATTTCCTCTCTCCCCGGTGCCTCTGCTCCTGAGCCCCTGACATTGTCATAACCAACAACCTCCCTGCCCCCAAAAAACTTCAGCTACACAACCTTAAATTGCTGTGGCCCAAGAACGATCCCTTCAGCTTCATTCACTCCACTCCCCATTGCCATCAAATGCGTTGTGCTTTTCTTATTTCTTTTTAACATTCGAGTTTTATGTGTGATCCAGCAGCTAAAGTAATGCGTAAGGTGTTACAGGAGAGGCAGTACCTCTGGTGGGGGGCATGTTGTGCTCCTTCTGGTGTTGCCACCCTGCACTTAGCTCTCACCTGGGGCTCCTAGAAGCTGCCAGCATGTGACAGAGGACACACCCCAACTGGCTGGCTAAAACAGGTGAGGGTAGGCAATGGGTCTCAAACCCTTGGTGAGTTAGGAACTTTCTCTGAATGCAAAGACAGCTTGTAACTCCTTCAAAAAAGGAAATGTGATCTGTCTGACAGGACTTATTTTTGAGAAACCCATGCTGGGTCTTAGTAGCCACAGCATCTTTTTCTAAATGTTCACGGAAAGACCATTTGATTATCTTTTCTAGGACCATTCCTGGTACAGTGGTACCTCGGGTTCCATACGCTTCAAGTTACATACGCTTCAGGTTACAGACTCCGCTAACCCAGAAATAGTATCTCGGGTTAAGAACTTTGCTTCAGGATGAGAACAGAAATTGTGCAGCAGCAGCGGGAGGCCCCACTAGCTAAAGTGGTGCTTCAGGTTAAGAACAGTTTCAGGTTAAGAACGGACCTCCGGAACGAATTAAGTACTAAACACGAGTGATTTGCTGTTGTCTTTTGAACCTATGTTTTCTTAGTGTTAAGTAGATTTATACTTTAGCAGAGCAACTTGTAAAATTTGGGAGGGTGAATTCAAGTCTCATAGTCAGGTATCAAATCTTCTCATCACTGCACAGTACAGCTGCTTCACATGGCTCCTACCACTGTGCCATACCACTGGGTAGGAAAACATCTGCCCTTGCAGGAAAAGGAAGGAGGAGCACACAGCCAAGCCCTCGGGGACAGAATGAAAGGGAGGGGGCACAGCCACAACAGCAGGGGCAGACTTAGGGGAGCGCAATCCGTTTGCTCGCACTGGGTGCTGAGCCAAGAGGGGGTGCAGGGGGGGCTGCAACAATGATAAATAACAGAAGGCAAAGTGGGGGCACCAACATTTGGCACCACACAAGGCGCCACCGACATTTTAAAGCCCAAAGTCCACCTATTCCTCTCCAGAGCAATACTGTGTGTCAGTCAGATGGGTAGAAGCAACCTTATTTTAATTATGTTTTATTATTTTATGTAAATTAAAGAAATAAGCACAATTCAAGGAGCAATTGTCAAAGACCAAAACTTTGTGAAACCTATAGAATTTATTCAAATGAGCAGGAAAAGTTAACACTGAAGGGATGTTTACTATGGTTTCATTAAAAAAGAAAACCCCACCCCACTTTAACTTCTTAAACATCAAACATATATTGTGCAATAAGAGTGGAATTCTTAAGAAAAGGTGTAGACTAATTGTATGAACAAACACTTCTAACTACATAGAGTAACTATCTTGTGTTAACAACTAGGTAATGTTAAACTAAGACACCTGGATGCAGCCACAGAAAACTGGCTTCCTGGAAAATGATGAAATTTGAGTTTAAAACTAAGAGAGGAAGGCATGCTGTGTAAAGCATTTCTATTCCATTACCATCAAAAGTTTCTATATATGCAGTGAATCCTGCCTGCTGGTTATCTCTGGTTATCACTCATCTTTATTTGGAAAACTTTGGAGCTGTTGAGGTAAATTTGTGGTAGGGATACAAGCTGGATAATAATCACAGTTCAGCAGCTGCGTGCCAAACCCATACCCAAGGCATAGCAACATCTATTTCACATGTAACTGGTCTGTTCCCCATCTTTTTAGAGGTTCTCACTCCTGTGCAGAAACATGTGCATGCTGAGAAGTTCCTGAAATTAGTGAATCAGTGTATATTTCGAATGTATATGTTCACTTCACTGATAAGTCTTCTGCCAGTAATTATGGAAATCACTAGAGATATCAGAGATGGGATCACTGAAAGGTGACTGATAAGTTACCTTAACGCAAGTTTGGGTATTTGGATGATATAGCAAGAAAATGTATAGGATGTATAAGAAATGTATAGGAAAACATTGCAGAAATTAATCAATTTCTTATCAATCTCTTTTTCAAACTGGAAGGTAAGCTATTTATCAATTATTCTATTATTATTCTTCCTTTTTAAACTGTTGCACATAGTTTTTTCTTTGTTTTCCATACAGCATCCTGTTAAACATGACTGTCTGTGTTGTGGTCCGTGTACCAGTGGTCACAAAAACCCATGCACTATAGATCTTTTGGATCACAAAATCCATCATTTCAGCTTCGTGTGCATGTTCTGGATAGATAGATCTCTTTGCCTCCGTATAAGCAGAGATCATAATAGCTTGCAATAAATTGAGGAAAACACAAATCATCACAAACAAAAAAGAAGTTAAAAAGAGCCCTGCCAGAAACCTATCAGCTGCAAATTCAGTTCCCCTAAATGCTAAGGCGCAGTAAGATAACACAGTAGTAAAGGAATAAAGCAAAGTACGGTAACTTTCTTCGTGTTGGCCAAATCCTAAATACCCAACTGACATATATGCCAAAAAAAAAATGGCCCCTCCTACAGACAAGTTAGTAATTGTAGGAAGAGCTTCAAACAATGACTTTTGGGCCAAGCGGACATCAAACATAAACCTGAGATACCGGTATGTTTTCATAACGAGGAAAAAAGCCAATAATGCCTTAACTGTTCTGACAACTCGATCGAAATGAGCAGCTGCATGGAAGGGAATGAATTGTTCTTGATTATACAAATAAAACTGTATTAACTCAAAAGCAAGCTTAAGTCTGAATAGAATCAGCAGCAAAAAAATTAGACAGACTGTCTTAATTCCAAAATTAATTAAATTGGCAGCTGTTTTTATATAATTCAGCCTTTCTTGACGCAGCATGCGATATTCATCCACAATATAAAATATAAGTATAGCTACAATACATAAAAAAAAGAAAACTTGACTACTGGTTCGGTCAGCTAAAAGTGGGAGCTTATAAGAATGAACTGACACACTGCTGACAAGAGGGCCAACATATGAACATTCAAATATGACAGAAATACTGCAAAACAGATCTGCATCTGGATTAAAAGTGGTCAGCTCAATAATAGTTACCCAGGTCCTGTGATCAAGCCAGGTGTTGCTTTCCAAAGTCTTCAATCTTTCTGTTGAATTTATTTGTGGTTCTCCTGTGAAAAAATAAAAGCTGTATCCTCTGGATGGGTAGCTGTTTAATTCTCCATATGACACATATTCCCACTCAGCAATGCTTTGTTCATAAGTGTAGCCTGAAAAGCTGGTGGGTTGGCAGCTGGATGATCGACTGGAGCTGACCACGACCCATTGTAGTCAGCTTGATCTTCTGGGTCACCTCCATATCGGTGTACACAGTGAATATCCGTCAGAAATGCTTTTTGAAAGCTATGTAGATAGGTACATGCCCTGTCAGAATGTATACCTCTTATTTGTCTCATTCTGGGCGACCCAAGGACTTTGGACCAGGTCTCTGAAAGATAGGTTGGTTGATAGTCATTGTGTATCAACGGCAGAAGGATTTTTTTCACCCATTTGTAAATATCTTCTACTTTATTTACTTCAGATAAACCAAGAGAAAATTTCTTACGCATAAATCGATTGTAGTGAAAGCTACTGGTGGTTTCTGTAGGATGAGTATACTTTAAAATTAAAGCTAAAAAGACAAAGTGACAGACCATATTTTTTGCTAAAATATAACCTAGACTCTTAACAGTTGCTTTTTTCCTCAATATTATAAGCTCTCCGCCTTTAATTGGTTGGTATTTCTTTGAAGCTCTAAGTTTGACAAGGTTATCATGTAACTGTCTCATCTCATTTGCAGGGATAGTTCTATCATTAAACTTAAGATCTTGGTATCTTGTCCATGGGATATTTCTGCAGTATTTTGGATAAATGGTATTCCAGGCTGTAAAAAAAACTACCTTAAAGGTCTCAAGGAAAAGCACAGTTAGGCAAAATGAGGTAATAGAAGCTATTAACCACTCAGAAGAGGTTTTAGTGGAATAGGGTTGGCCAAGTAGTACAATGAAGAATGAGAGCACAGCGGATGCAGAAAGCACAATGATACAGGCGATGTATAGAACCCACCAAGTAGACTGTGGTTTGTGTATTTTCTCAGAAAATGTTTCATTTTCTGCTGCAACATTATTGCTGGAATTGGTGTCTCTGTGGGGGAATTGCTGGGACTTCATCTCTGAGGGTGGAGCAGCTTTTAAATTGCCTTCTTCACAAAGGTTTTCAGATGAAAAGGAGGAACTTCCTTTTGGGTGAGCTTGAACTGCATTGTGGGCTGAAGGTTTCTTTGATAAATGCTTAAACAAGGTTACCAGAATCAATTGCACAGGAACTGAAATCAAAGAACTTTCTATTCCAATTGTTATAGATCTCAAATACTGCAGTTCTACTGAATAAATATGTTGGTCAATATCGTTGAAGAATATAGTGTTAAACATCAGGGAGCTTAACAGTATTGCTAAGCAACAAGTCAGCCTGAGGAATCTGCTGAAAGAGTCATCGTCTAAATGAACAAAGACAGACAGCCAAAGATGGTTCTTGAACAGGTCATTGCTAATCATAATACAAAAATAATCAGTCTTGCTTAAGGGTACACTGGGATTTGTAACAGTAAATGACCTTTCTATTTGGCAATCATCCCTGCCAGGATCAAACCATTTCCTACATATAAATAGCCATGACTGTTTGGTATCCATGTTTTGTACTTGGATTCGGCTTAAGAACCAGTTAGGACCAAAGCCATGATTATTGCGCCAGATATGAAGAGAACAAATGTTTCCTAAGTCTCTCTCAGTAGTTAAGAGAAAGGTGTCAATGGATCCTTCCTGGAAGATCCCTGGGAACTGTGGATGTTTTAAATGATGTACATCACTGGCCCCATTTTGGCCAATCAGTTCAATGAAGACATCAGCATTGGTGCCTGATCTTAAACGACTTCCTGTGTATATTGTGACTAGATACCTCACCTCATGAAAGGGATCATTGTCTGGCAAATCTATGACCTGATCCCTGGTGCCAGCTTTATCTTTTCTTATGACCCAGATAGCCAAAGAGATGTAGATTATAAAAATAGCAAGAACTGTCAACCCTGTTACAGGATTTTGGCCACTCGATGCTAAAAGGAACCTTTTCATATCAACTTGATTGGGAAATAAAAGTACTTTGGCAGCCAAAAATTGGATACCAAGTCCTGAGGTCCTTGATGGCCTGGGGTTGGCTGTTCTTCTGCTACGCTCTTTTGCTTTACAGATGCAATGTATCTTGGAATAGGTGGTCTGAGGGCCAAGATGACAACTCCCTTCTTTCCACTGGTTCTGAATTCCATCCAGGTCTAGGCAGGCTGCTGCAAAATGAGCAATGCGAACTATCTTTGTGGTTTGGTCTCTGACAATTGGATGTGATTGTAAGACAACAGAGATATTCAGTCTGTCTGCTCTATTGCTCTGGAAAAGAGACCAAAGCAATGATTGAGGAAGACAAAGGATATATGGAGCCTTAACTGCACAATCAGTGACATTAGTATCCATTTTAGTTGGTGTAGGAGGACTGGAATGGGAAGCAACATACACAGCTACAGGGGGGTGGCTGATATTGTGGCCTAGGTATATAAATACATGAAAAGTAATATTTATTTTAGACACAATCTGGATAAAAATATCTTTGGAGCTTCTTTTTACTTCAAAACTAAAGCCACCAGTTGTTTTAGGGAGATTTTTGGCTGGTCCTATTGTCAAGTCAAAGATGGCCTCCTCTTTTCTAGCCATGATCATTTCAACCACATAAGGTGTGATACTGATTACGTCACCGTTAGCTTTGGTTCCTGTCATTTTTAATCCAGTCACCATTGTTCCAATATCTTCTGTATAAAGCAACCATGGAAAGGGATTTCTGTCAAATTCATAAAGAACAGTGGATACCACAGCATCTACCTGTAATTCAGAATGATTACTCTTTTTCAGTTCAGTATAAAAGCAGTTCCTGCAATATTGTCTGTCAGAGAAAGTTCCTGAAACATCCCATTTCTCATCTTTCCGTAAATGCATGGCCCAGATTTCAGTCTCCATGTTAGTTTCTTGCTCCCCAGGGACTTTACCTTGTAAGACTAGAGCTGCTAATATTTCTGTCACTGAAATGGTTTCTTTAATTGCATTGGCATTGACATTTCCATGGTTCAAGAGGGAAGCGTTCAACACATTGGACAACCCGATAAATATACCATTGCCAAGGATCTCTGCTTCCTTAGAACCTAGGTCTTTGGCCCTGAGCCTTTTTAGAGCTTCACTGACCTCTCTTAGTTTTCTGACTGCAAGCAGTTGTGATTCCCTGTTTACTTCAGTAGTTTCATGTGTTACCTGACAAATACTCAAAATCACTTGGTTTATTTTCAGAACATCAGTTGTAGGTATCCTCGTAGTTATATTAAGAAGGATTTGTCGCAAATCAGTTTTAGAGCCTTGATTGGTTGGCAAAGTCTCTATATTATTTAATACAGAGGCCACCATATATACAAAATAACCTATATTAAAGTAATCTTTAGCTGCAAGCAAAGTTGTCATAGGAGCGGTTGGTCCACTGATTAAACCATGTAGATCATGCTGAACAACATGAGTTGGTTTATTTTTTATTTGCTCATACACAGTTGCTTGTAATATTACCTGAGAAGACGCTCCAAGGGCATCATACACTTGAACATATATGATTAAGGTAGAGTTCTGAGATGGTATACCAACTGGAAGAAAAGAACGAGGAGTTTTAGGCTCATGACCAGCATACACTATTATTCCCAAAACATTATTCTCTACTGAAGATACAGCACTGGTTTTGATTTGATTTGATGATGCTATCACTTTATATGTAAGAGGTCCATTTTTGTCTTCAAATCCACTGCACTGAATGATGAATTTTGTTAGGAATGCCATGCCTATCTTTGGATTGATAACACACTTTCCTATCTGAGGTGGGCCATTCACATAAAAAGAATATTTGTAGATGGCTGACTGTCCTTCCTTTGTGGTGACTTTCAGACTAAATGTAAATGACTGCTCTGCCATGGATACAAATGCATAAGCATTTATATGCAGATATGGATTGGATCTTCCAGTTGTACTTTTTGAAAACCAATCAAAATTTATTTCACTGGACTGTGCTGAGTAAAGTGACCAGTAATAGAGAGATTTGCCACTTCTGCAATTTAGGCATTTGCCAGAAAGACAAAATCTTTCTGTTGGAATTACTGACTCACCACAATTTTCAATACATGTGACATTTAGGATTATGGCAAGAGGAGCTTGCACATGTACTATTTGTTCCGTCTGAGCTATTCTGCTACCATTTTGAACCACCAGGCGAAAATAATACACATTATTTCCTTGAAGTGTTTCAGGTTGCACTCTTTGAACTGGAACAGAGCATGTTATCCATTTTAAATCTACCTGATCTGGATGACATTTCCCGTTTTCACTTAGAGTCATTGATGTGTAGTCAGTTTTTTCTTTGCTGCAATACCACGTAAAGGACAGCCCTTTAGAGGGTTGGACTGCCTCACCATTGTAGTATGCAGATCCATTAAGTATCCACTCATCAGAAAATCCAACTGTCCGGATACTGCCTCCAGCAATGACAGCCACAAAGGTATCTGATCCAATCTTGACAAACAGTGAATCAGACCCTTCCATGCTCTTCCATGTATCCAAAGAGGTTAATTTCATTGTAAAATTAAAGAGATACAAGCCATTATCTAAGACAGGACCAGGTACTTTTAATATGGTGGAATTTCTTCTTCCAATGCTAGGTGGATTAAAAGGTTTTGACCAATCTGGTGTAGTAGTCAGATCTGGAACTTTATAGATGTTCCAAATGACATTTGTTTGATTAGGACCTGGACAAGTGATACGTGTATCAGCAGCCAGAGTAAACTCTGTTCCTTGGGTATAATATACCACACGCTGAGAAGCATCTGGCTTCTGGATACTAATTTCCTTAATAGAACAGGGTTCTTGATGGCAAGCTATGCTAAATCTGAGGGCCTTTGAAGCATAAGTGTTGACTGTGGCTTTTAAAATAGCTGGCATAAGTCCATTTCCAATGCATTTCACCTTTGCTACAAAACCAGTGAAGAGGGCAGAGTTGAAAGTTAAGAAAGAATCAGAAATGAATTGCATTGCATTTTTGACATGATTTATGTAGGTGAAAGTATAGTTCTGAACTGGGTACTCGCCTCTAGAATCAAAAAGTTGAAGGTTGAAGGTCCACTCACACTGTAGCAGTGGATGTTGCACAGGAATAAACCACACAATAGAGACCAAACTGTCTTCAGGAGAACTGTTATTAAAAACGTGAACTTCAATATCTTTTTCTCCTAGAGACCTGAACAAAGTCCCTTTCCGATTCAGATACACATGGATGCTGAACTTGGACAACTGCAGCTGCATGAATTCAACAACGATCAGGTAACAGAGGCTCTGCTCCTCGTAAAAGATATAGTGGGAGCTGTAGCCCTTCCTAGTGGTGGTAGTAGTGCTGTCTTCCTGTGTAGAATAGTACAATCCCAGTGTATGGCTAAAAATGTAGATGCCTCTTCTGGTTTTCTGTGGATTGAGTGTGAGATAAGTTGCGGCTCCGGTGCTTGCTCTGAAAATCAAAGTCTCATTAAAGAAATCAAGTTTTCCCGCCAGTTGTTCAGGCATCTTCTCATTAGTACGAAAATAGACACTGGCCACCACTTTCTCCTTGGAGTGATATGGTATGGGAACAGCACAGAAATTGCTGCGTAGAGCAAAATGGTTGTAATTGTAGAAGTGAGACCACTCTCTTGTATCATGCGTGCTTAATAGTTTATAAGCTACTATTCCTTGGCTGAGCTGTAGAAGACTCCAGGAAAGGCTGATTGTCCCATGTGGGTGGCTCAGCAATTTGGAACGTACACTAAAGACATGCAACAGGGCAGGCTCCACATATAATTCTATGCTAAGGCTGATCAGAGGTCGATGCTGAACACTGACTGAAGCGGTATAGAATCCACGATGGGGATAGCATACAGTCAGGTGGTAGCTATAGTACGATGCGCAGACCTGGTACAATTCTGCATTAGGGTAGCCAGCGAATGGAAGTGGTTCACTGTGCTGGTTGCTGGGAATGAGGAGATCTTCTGGACTACCCCCTCGGCTCCTGAAGCGATAGCTCCATGAGGAACTCTTAAGGCGTGCGCACCAACCCAGGTGCACTGGCTGCCATTCAAAAACTGGAAGGGTGCGTGGCCAGAGCAGGAAAAGTCGGACATCTTGCCCGGTAACCTCAATGCTCAGGTTGTGGTGAAAGCACAAGGGTGCAGAGCACAAAGTTGATGTACACTGTACTGTGATCCGACTATAAGCCCATGGTGGATAGGGACCTTCCCCTGGCAGGCCTTGACCCAGCACCAGCTCACCTAACCAGTTATCTGTACTGTTTACTAGGATGGAATCTCGGTACCAGTGGCAATGAGGAGCGGGTTGTAAGTCTGTCTCTCTCTCTTTAGAATTCACTCCTGGTGCTCTTGAGTAGCACAATTCAATGTATTCATCCCACAGACATGAAACCTGGAGTTCGTTATCTTGACGTTGATAAACACGATTTTCTGGCTTTGAACAAGTGACTAACAATGGTGGTGGAAGGAGATCGAGAGGAGCTGCCACTCGGTATTGCAAGCAACATGAACAGCAGAAGAGGAAGACATGACATAAAAGGTACCTCATCATTGACAGGAAAAAGAAATCTGACTCAGTAGTAACAGTCATCTCCTAGCAACAGCACAAAAAGAAAGTCTGCATGGATTCTAGAACCTTTCCGCTGTTGCCTTAGGCAACTCACGCCCATTTTCAATATGGACACAATAGTCCTTGTCTTTTTCTGTGGTTGAATCCCACACTCCTCTTCATAGTCCTCACATTACACTGGATTTGTATAAACCCGTGTTATTGCCATGTTGCCCAGATGTATCTATTACAATTTTAATGGAGAATGTTTGGTAGGACTTTAATTTTGAAAAGGCAATGACTGTGACAAAACTGGAGCTTGAGTGATTATTTCCCAGGATTATATTCCATCTAAATAGCATGTATGCTTATCTCTATATCTTATGGATCCCATAAGCACTGGAAATCCCAAATCTTTAATTTTCTCTGTAAATTACCCCATGAGAAATGGGAACATATTACAACTGCTACCTGTTGGCTTTTGGGTAAAAGATTGCCTCTCTTTTCTTTCAAGCCAACTTTTCCTATGGAGTCTTTGGCAGAACCACTGAGTACACAACGCATCACACAGAAATGTAGCCTAATAACTTCTCCTTTCCCCCTTCACCTCCCCCTCCTTCAAGTTGAATTTATGTCATGCACATTAATGATACTATTAGAGGTCACTATTAGAATGAATAAGTGGTAAAAATGGTGATATTTAAAACATGTATACCTCAGCTTTCCACAGGAATGGAATTCAAAGGCAGTTTACAAAAAAGAACAGCCTACAATGAAATCTCAAAAATAAGGAATTAAAATACAGAACAAATGGCTTACAAATACACTAAAATAAAGAGCTCATATCCTAACTCACCAAAGGCCATTGTAATTTGCGACCTATAAGATAAAAGAAGAGTGTTGGGGATGTAGGGGAGAGGGGGAAGTCAACAGAAACCAGTCCTGTGTGTTAAAGGCATCCTCTAAGTGGCCTAATGAAATCATTACTTTATTTTGCCATTTCTTTACAATTGGAGATACAATGGCGTTCCTACAGTCTAGGAGTAGGCTGCCTCGGTAAATCAGAAGCTCACACAGGACCATCAGTCAATCTTCCAGCACAAATCAGCTGCATACCACCCAACAGTCCAGCTTTGTCTGGGATAGGCCAGATTTACAGAAGCCCAAGGAATACCTAGAGATAAACCACAAACTAAACAACTCTGCATATAGTTTACAAAAACTCATTAACAGTAATATACAGCACTCCAACAGTACTATACAGCATTTCAAGTCCATGAGAGAAATTCTCTGTGTGTGCTGGTGCACTTCCAATGGAACTCTAACAACGGGGTACCCAGATTTCAATCTCTGTTTCGTGAATCTGTATATTACTATTAACGAGTTTTTGTAAACTATATACTGTACAGAGTTACAGTGGTACCTCGGGTTATATACGCTTCAGGTTACATACGCTTCAGGTTACAAACTCCGCTAACCCAGAAATAGTACCTCGGGTACTATTTGCTTTGCTTCAGGATGAGAACAGAAATCGTGCGGCAGCAGCGGGAGGCCCCATTAGCTAAAGTGGTGCTTCAGGTTAAGAACAGTTTCAGGTTAAGAATGGACCTCTGGAACGAATTAAGTACGTAACCAGAGGTACCACTGTATTTAGTGTGAGATTTACAGAAGCCACTGTGGCTTCTGTTTGAAATCAAGGATGTCTTGCTTCCGCTGCCTTGCCGCTGCCTCCTCCAATGTGGCAGCCATGATAACTGCCGCGGCCTCCATGGCGGCCTCCACTGCACTCCTGGAAGCGGGCACAGCACATCTAGAAGCACACTTCTGGAAATGCATGCACCACTTCCGGCAGCCAGGGTGAGGCCGCAGTGAGGCCAAGGAGACCGCAAAGAGGCTGAGGAGGCTGAGGTGATGTGGGGACAGGGGGACAGCATGATGCGGGAAAGGGGATGCCCCAGATTTGGGTGAGGAAATGTTGGAGGGTATGGCAGTGGAGAGGTGCAAGTGGAGGTTTAAACCTCACAATCCTGGTGCACTTAGGGTGAGTGCACACGTGACAGACTATGGCTATGTACATAACAGAGTATTAAAGCACATACACAGATCCGATTTTTCCATGTGCACTTTTGTGCATGCCTTCGGTTGAACTCTATCTCAATATTTCCAATCCACACTAGTGGGTAGTGCTTGATGGAATGTATTCACACTGTTTGTCTCCCCATCCCCTCAATTACTACTTCCTATCCTCCCAGAGGGTTCTATGGGATGTTAGGTGAAAAGCAGTGCCTCTAGTGGGGGGCATGTTGTGCTCCTTCTGGGGTAGTTTGTCCGCCCTTGGTCCCCACTCTGTGGCTCTTAGAAGCTGTCAGCATGTGACAGCGTCCACACCCCGGGAAACAGCCTGACTGCCAGCTAAACCAGGTGTGGGTAGCCTGCATGCGAAGACAGCCTCCGGCAGATTGAGCAGACGAGACCAATTGTGGGTCCAATAGTCATGAAGGCAGCTTCTGCACATGCTATAAAGGGAAGTGTGAGGCTGGTCAACCAAGGAAGATAGCCCATCTAGGAGAAGGAAAAAACTGCTGCTTTGCAGAATATCTTCAGGGGAAGAAAAGGCTAAGGAATAAACCCTACACGAACTAGGAGTGAAGTTCCTAAGATGGTTGGATGGCACCTTGTATACCTCCTTTCAGCAACTCCTGCAGCCAAGCTGGTGCTAAACGCATTGCTCTGCTTTCTTTTGGACCATATCACTGAGGCCGAGAAGGAGGTCTTGTCTGGGCCGCCCAGGACCTCCATATGCGCTGCTCAAGCCACTTTGGTGCTGTTGATGCAGCAAAACGTGGGAGGCAGCAGTTATGAGTTATTGATCTCTGCAGCCACAGCAAATGCTGTGATTCTTCAACAGTTTGACTTTGCCCCCAGTGGCGCACTCCACTGTCTCTTCAGACAGATGGATGGCAACAACAACAAACAACAAAATCCTCTGAGAGTTCTGGAAACCCAAGGTCCCTTGTGGGCATGTGCACAAGTATTTGTTTGCCTGTGCATTTAGCCATTCATTCATTTATGAGATACAAGTTTTCTGATATGCCAGACTTGGAACAAAATAGCCAGTTGTCTTTTTTAAAAAGTGTGATCCTGTGCTCAGTCTCACCAGCAGCTCACCAGGAATGCCTCACCAATGAAAGTAGGGGAGTGTGGTGATAAAATGGCACCCACCCAAACATCCCTGAACATGTTTCAAAAACCTACCCATACAATGTGCTACAGTACAACCAGTTGGGTAACATTTGATTCTATGCTGGATTTTCCCCCCTTACCACATTTCCCACAGATTGGAAGAATTCAAATTAAAGGGGGGTAAAGTGCAGTTTGCCACTTGGGTGAGGACAATCTCATTTGGAGAATCCTTAAAAAATGAAAATATTGGATAGATCAAATCCACTTTAAAATGCCTTGTGTACATAGCCTGTGTGTGTATCTTTATGCATGTGGGGTTGAGTGCAGGAGAAGGAGGCTTTGTGATATGATCAACAGACAGACAGACCTTCTGAGTGGACAAAAGCTGTGCGTGTATATGTGTGTGTGTGTGAGAGAGAGAGAGAGAGAGAGAGAGTGAGTGAGTGAGTGAGTGGAAAAGGTGGGCTTAGCCTCTCCCCTCCCTTGGCACATGGCATCTGACCCACCCCTGCAGGCTCTGCTTGGGATGACTGGTCTATTGAAGGACATTGAACTAAATTATCAACAGAGGATAATATCCTTTACCTAATTTTGTATAAGAGTTCATACGTACTTGAAACCCAAGGAGAATCAATTTTAAATTATGAGACAACCATCTGAAGTGGAAATAATTATGAAGGAAGAGAATGGAAACTGTGGAGATCAGCTTGGGATAGAAATATTATGCAATTTATTCACCGTTTACTCTGTCTTTCTCAAACAGAAAGATAAACAATTTTCTTGCCATTTACTTGCCTGCTTCTCAAGCCGCACACATAGTCGTCCTTGACCACAGATCTTCCAAATATTACAGTGCTGACATGATCACTGTCACTTGTGGGTGGTGTCTGACGGGTGATGGAAAACCAAATACTTTGGATCTTCAGAACCACAAAGTTTATTGCTTCTGCTTCATCAGAATGTTGTTCATAAGTAGGTTGTTTCATTGAGTTATAAGTAGAGATTATTAGGGCTCTCCATAAATTGATGAAAATAAACATCATTGTAAACATACATGAAGCCTGAAAAAATATCCCTAGCCACAGGTTGGATGAAAAACTAGCCAGTTTAACTGCTCCAAAACAATATGAAACTACAGTCTGGAGGGAAAGAATCCAAGTATGAAAACTCCACTCACTTTGGCCAAATGTTAGGTACCCAAATGATGTGAATACAGAAAAGTATACGGCCGCAAACAGAGTCAAATTAACAAACTCAGGAAAAGCTACTGACATTGTTTTTTCTGCAAGGCGCACATCGTACAAGAATCTGAAATATCGGTATGGTTTCAAAATCAGAAGGAAGACCAAAAAACCTGAAATCATCATGTACAGTTGATCGATTTGAGAAACTACATGGAAGGGAACAAATTGTTCTGGATTAAGTAGATGAAATTCCAACAATGTAAATGCCAGCTTAAATTTCAGTGCAATTAACAACAGAAAAAACATAGAGGTTGTCTTTATTGCAAAGTTATTTACGTTAGTTGCTGTTTGAAGATAACCTATCCTTTCTTGACGTAACATGTTAAATTCATCAGCAAGATAAAAGGCAAGAATATACACTATAACTCCATACACAACCCTCTTAGAGGTGGGTTCATACTCGAAAATAGAGAGTTTGTAAGAATGAACTACCAAACTTGAATTAACGACACCTATATCAGTAGTCTCAAATACGATAGAAATGCTGCAGAATAGATCCACATCTGGATTAAAAGTTGTTAACTCAAAAATCACTGCCCAGGTCCGATTATCAAGCCAGTTGTTTCTTTGCAGATCATCCATCCTCATTGTTGTATTGGGTCGTTGCTCTCCAGG